ATCAGCTCTCAGAAGGTAGATGGTGGCTGGACCAGAAATTAATCGTTTAGTTGCCAACTATGAAACAGTATCAGGAATCAAAGATGCAAAGAAAAGCAATCGTCACCATGAACAAACAGAGACAGTTCAGAGGGCATTCTTTGAGAAAGTCAAACAGCTCACAATGGTAATGGAGGAAATGGGTAATCCCTTTGAAGAGGAGTCAGGAGATCTTCTTACGCTCGACACCAAGGACATCGCGGATCCTTCTGCTGCTCAGCTAATTGCGACGCATCACGAGAGAGGGAAAGAAAAGTTAAATTCCTTCATGGCTAATCTACAATGTGAGAATGACTACTCCTTCTACCAGCCTATCAAAAAGAACAGGATAACCTTCTTCACAAATGAGCCAAAGTCTGCAAGCAAATCCGAGACAAAGTTACTGAAGGAAGACTGCAATTTGTTTTCCCGCCTCTTCATCTCCTGCCAAAACAGACAGTGTGACTTGCAAGAGTTCTTCAAACACGAGAATCAGTCTTTTCCGGCCTCACTCAGTAACAAGGGGAAACTACACACGAAATCTGATTTAGTGGATGTACTACAAGCCAAAGTTACGCTTCCAGAGACAAAGCCAGAGTCTGACGTACTCATTGTAGATGGAGCTGCGCTGGTAAATACAGTAGCACCACGAACACCAAAGACATTTGAAGAGTATGCCAGAAAGGACATTCTTCCTAAAGTCGAGTACTACAGCACGAAACACAAAAGAACCGACATCATCTTTGATGTGTATCATCAGTCCAGCCTGAAGGCAGAGGCAAGATCTAAACGAGGAAAGGCCATCAGAAGGAGAGTAACAGCGACAAGTAAAACTCCCTCGAATTGGCAGAGCTTCCTTAGAGATAGCACCAACAAAACAGAGCTATTCCATTTCCTTGCCGACAAAGTGGCTGAAATGACAACGGGCAATCCAGTTATCATGACTAAAGGAGAAAATGCCATCACCACCACCTGTGACAACAGCGTTAACCTGGAGGAAGTGGCCCCATGTACCCATGAGGAAGCAGACACGCGAATATTCGTACATGCTCGGCATGCAGCCACCGAGGGATACAAGTCTCTGATGATTGAAGCTAATGACACGGACATTGTAGTTATTGCCATATCCCTTATGCCTTCTCTTGCCGCAACAGGTCTTGAGAAAATGTGGGTTGCATTTGGCAAAGGGGAGCACAGGAGATGGATCCCTATCCACGAACTTGTGTCTGCCATAGGACCAGAGAAAACGAGTGGGATGCTCTTCTTCCATGCCTTCACCGGTTGTGATGTTGTATCATCTTTCAATGGCAAAGGGAAAAAGACAGCATGGCAGACATGGAATGTATGCAATGAAGCATCAGTCATCTTCACGAAACTCAGTCAGTGCCCATCAAAGATTGAGGAATCTGATCTACAAATCCTGGAGAAATGTGTGGTCCTGATGTATGACAGATCAAGTTCAGTTGCGTCTGTGAATGAGGCGAGGCTTGCTCTCTTTGCACGAAAGCAGAGGTCATATGATTTAATTCCACCAACACAAGGAGCACTCAAGGAACATGCCAAGCGAGCTGCATATGAAGCAGGACACATTTGGAGCCAGGCAATAGTCCGCCAGCCAGAGCCTCAGTATCCGTCCGAGTGGGGTTGGTTCAAAGAAGATGACTCGTGGAAGCTCTTCTGGACTGCCCTTGCTCCCATAGCTAAAAGCTGCCAGGAGTTAACGAAATGTGGATGCAAGACACAATGTAGTGGAAGGTGCAAATGCTTCCGTTTCGGACTAAGTTGTACTCCACTATGCAGTTGTTTTTGTCAGACCTAGCTAGTCAGAACAATGAACATTGCAGGGCAGAAAAACATTGCAATAGAAACTGGGACCGGTTCGTGTTATATTCACCCCAGGCGCATTACGAACGAAGTGCAGATTTTGTTGATGGCATGATACCCCTTGCCTATCAAATTGCCTTTAGGAAATACTAGAATTTAAAAAAATAATAACGGCAAATTTAAAGTGATAATTCAGCATCAATAACTGGAAGTGCTGAACAAAACAGAAAAAGACAATTTGGGTGAATCTAAACTCGTATATTAAAGTAATACTTTTGCACCTAAAGCCACATATGGCAGGTAAGGGGTTAATACCACATCATACATGTGTTTTGATATCATAATCGGTTTCGCCAGTGTTGAAAACATATAAATCGCCACCATGACCTACTGAATTGGACAGATCTATCCAAAGTTATCAGGAAATGTCACCTATGGGGTGGTCATCTGGCGGCCATCTTGGAAAATGGCCGCCATCTTGGAATTTCAAGTGGCTAGCACTTTTTTCTCATAAAGTGACATAAAATAAATATTCCTGCCAAGTTTCATGCTTGTATCATCATTTGAACGATTGACCTTGTTATCTGCTCCACTATCACTGCCTGAGGTACAGGGTCTCCAGGTGTATCTGTGTCTGCCTGAGGTACAGGGTCTCCAGGTGTATCTGTGTCTGCCTGAGGTACAGGGTCTCCAGGTGTATATGTGTCTGCCTGAGGTACAGGGTCTCCAGGTGTATCTGTGTCTGCCTGAGGTACAGGGTCTCCAGGTGTATCTTTGTCTGCCTGAGGT